AACTTTTCAAACTCCACAGTGCCACTCAAGTTATTGGATGATAGATCAAGGTCTGTAAGGTTCTCAAGTTCAAAGATTGATCTCGGAATCAGGCCATGCAGGTTGTTATCGCTTAAAAGAAGCGATGACAAAGAACGAGATTGGAACTCAATGATATTACCGCTGAGTTGGTTACTTACAAGGGATAACTGCTCCAATGATGGCAAACTACCTAACCAAGATGGTATTGTTCCGTTGAGTTGGTTATCATATAAAATGAGCTCAGTTAAGTGTCGAGGAATAGGACCCACCAGTTGTTGTTTTGAAAAATCATATAAAGAAGAGATCAATGTCGAGTTGCTATCAACTTCTGGAAACTGACCGACATAATTGTTGCCAACAAGATTCAAGTAAACGAGGCTCTCAATGTTTAAAAAGAATGACCATGGGATTTGGCCACCAAAACTGTTAGACGAGAGGTCCAACCGCATGATTTGTGTGAGGTTACCAACAAATGCAAGATGTGATCCTACAAAATTGCAATTGCTGAGATACAAAGCTCTCAAAAACTTGAAATTTCTTGTCAAACGATGCCAATCTACTGAAATTCTAGTTTCAGAGAGCGTCAAGGTTTCGAGTGGACTGCTCCAGTTAGAATTGGGGAGAGAACCTGTGAGGTTATTGTTGAAGCCTAAGCTTAGTACTCGAAGGTTTGGTAGGCGGAAAATGTTTTCTGGGAATTTTCCTTGCAAGTGGCAATTAGAGAGTCTAAGAGTTGTCAGAGAAGAAGAGAGATTCTTGAAGGAATCAGGTACAACTGAAGACATGTCAACACCGATCAGTTGAAGCTCCTTAAGATTGGTTAGGTTTTGAACAATTCTGTTAAAGCTAAGAGTATCTAGTCTTACATCACGTAGGGAGAGATTGAGTGAAACCAAGTTGGAAAGGTGGGAAATTTCGGAAGGGATTGGGCCACTGAAATTGGAGTAATAGAGGTCAAGGTGAGTCATATTTACAAAGCCACCAAATTTGGACGAAATTGGGGAACCTCTGAAATCATTTCTAGAGAGGTCTAGCCTCTTGAGATGGCCAAGAGAGAATAAGCTGCTATTGGAATGGATATTACCTTGAAGCCCACCAAAATGAAGGTTGAGACCGATCACATGACCAGTCATCTTTTCACAAGTGACTCCACTCCACGTGCAACAATCCTTGCCTTTCTGCCAAGTAATTGTACTGTTAGAATAAAGAGTTGGTCCATTAAGTGATTCAACTTCATGAGAGGAGGTATCAATAGAAAAGGAGTTTTTGAATTGAAGCAAAGCAGAGCTGTCGTGGGGATGGCATAAATGCCTTGAAGAAAGAGAAGAGGAAGAGTTAGATGATGATGAACAAGTAGAGTTGAATTGAAAAGTAGTAAAGAGCAGGAAGAGGAGGCACAACCAACCCATCTTTCCTTCAAAATCTAAAAGTATATATTCTTCTAAATAATTTTGTGAGCAACTCTGTCCTGTAGATGTTGATATTTATAACAAGTTTGGGCAACAGTGATTTATCTATAATGTCACGATATGAGTCTAGTAGATGTGGCATAAGGTTGTCCTGCATTTAAAGTTTCCACAGTGCTAAGATGGCAAGTACTTAAGTTTGTGGAAAATCTTGTGGAAAATTTGGCAACCAAGGCGTTGATTTGGTATTTGGTCTTAGTAGGTATAATTTCTGCGTGTTCAAATGGTTTCCACGTGTTACCTCCAACTTCTACTAGTCAAAAGTTGTCCAATTTCTGCGTGTTCAAATGGTCTTGCTCAATCTTTTTCACATTTTCTTTAGATAAATAAAGTCATCAACATAAAAGTTAAACAAATCCTTTAGATAAAATCTAAATATTATAAAGCTAGTTCCTATATAGTAATAAAAAACATATTGCAACTTAATTATATAAAGATCGTACTGGGATCGGTTGTGGGGCTTGGGGAAAGTAGCTAAGGTGGGTTGTTGCGGGGGAAAGAGAGAAGAGAGAAGGTTGTTGCAGTTGAGATTAATTATTTTTATTTATTTTAGCTTTTAAATCTTATTTTTATTTCTTAATTATTTATTTATTTAAATTGAATTTAAATATTTTTATTTTTATTAATATTTTAATAGAAGTTTAATAGATTGGATTACATTAGCTAACGGTGCTAAACACAGGGACTAAATTGGTCAACGGGCTAAACCACAGCAACCATTTAGCTAAATATTTTTATTTTTATTAATATTTTAATAGAAGTTTAATAGATTGGATTACATTAGCTAACGGTGCTAAACACAGGGACTAAATTGGTCAACGGGCTAAAACACAGCAACCATTTAGCATTTAAGCCAAATTGCGCAAGATAGTGGTAACGGCCCTTCCAACTGATTTCCATTAAGGTCAAGATTCCTCAAAATGTTACCCTTAGAAAATGTTGATATTTATATGAAGCTTAATGAATAGTAGTTTATCTTCTTTAGATAAACAGAGCACCATTGTCACGCAGGTGTAGGTCCCATTGTTAGCTGCTACACCAATTTGAATTGTTGATAATTGACATTATTGAGGGTGAAAGCCTACGTCTATTCATCTAATTGGAAAAAATTTGCCCCAAGTCTTTGATATTTGGTAGTCTTTCGTCTTGGTACGTACGTAGGAATTTCTGCATGTTAAAATGGGCACCTTAATTTTCATTGGCTTGCTAATTTGGATTCATAATTGACCATCAAAATTGTTTTTGTTCTAATCAAGTTGTCCAAATATGGTTCGAATTTGCATATTGAAGAAGCCAGGAACGAGTATTCATAAATTGACCATCAAAATCGTTCTTGACTTTTGCCACCTTCTTCACGCTCTCATTAATTCTTCACGGTTTTGCTTGTCTTTTCACTTTCTATCTCCACCCTTAAGCATTTGATTGGCCTTAGGCCTTTAGTCCAATCTCTTTATGAACTTTCAGAGGCAAATTTATAAACAAAAGTTTCTTTTAAATTTTCATTTATGAAAATACATCATCTTTCTAAAGGGCTAAAGAAAAGAAGGGAGTTAATAAATAAAGTCATCAACATAAAAATGAAATAATCCTTTAGATAAAATCTAAATAATATAGTAATTAAATCCTATATAAAGCTAGCTACTACAACCTCTCGGCCACATTTTCTTTGAATCTTGCTCAATCTTTCACATTTTCTTTGATGCACTCTCTCATATTAACATGCTATAGTTTCCTTGTGCCTTCCATTCATCAGCTACCAAATTCCTAAACATGTATCATTATTAAGTTTGAAGAAGCAATTACGACACTAAAACATGTTAATGTTACATTAATTTCATTACCTCATTTGGTAGATGTTTAATTAATTGTTATAGTTACCTCTTTAAATCTAATTCAACAATTTTCTTGAAATATATATGTATTAAACCACAATTCTAAACGTAATGGAATGGACAAATTTACACCCCCTTGTTGACAACAAAAGAGTGCTGCTGTTGCAGATTTTTGTGTCTCTCTATGAATGATGTGCTTTTCACAATCTTTTTGTTTGTGGAAATATCTTTTAGTGAGAATTTTCGCCGATGATCCTCTTTTCTCTCAATCGTCTTCTTTCTCGAACCTTGCAAAATAATGGCTGTTAATCGAAGAACATTGGTTTGGTGTTGGCCAAAGGGTATCCGATGCTTAAGTTAGTAAAATAGTCTAAAGGATATGCGAATTTAACTGAAAGGATGGAGTTTTCCTCTCCATGGAGACGAGGAGGTGTGGATGCTGGGAGTGGGGGTGACAGCGTGGAACCGTGACAGAGGGAGAGAGAAAAAAAGGCGTGAGCTTTTTGCTAGGGTTTTCAGAATTACCTTCTTTGTGTCATCAATTTAACTTAAATAGCCCTCCTATTTTGTAACCTTCATTTGCCATACAAAATATTATACTACTAGGCTCAGATGTGCAGTCAACACATTTTATTTAATTTTAAGCAACAAAGCAAGTAAATTGGAAGGCACGAAGAAGATCCAAAAATAAAACTGAAAACTATTTATATGGGTTTATTTATTAAATAGTTTTCCAAAAAAAAACTGAAAACTATTTATATGGTTTATTTATTAAATAGTTTTCCTTGGCTTGATACTTCTACGTCTCATTAGTGGTGTCTTTCCTATCTTTTTTAGGGTTTGTTTCTTACCAAAACCAACAAAAGAGAAACTTTAAGCAAATTTATTGAAAATGCAAGCAAATGAAATGGAACATATTAATAAAACATTGACGGAGTCATCAAACTAGTCCAGAGAAGTTGCAAGAAGAGAATTGCTTATCGCACCACTAACTATAAGAAAATACAATTATCAAATGCATTAACAAAAGAAATCATATTAAGATGAAAAAGAAGAAATTAGAACACGCATATTATTGTAATTAGCAACTGAGAAAACAAATAGCTAATTACTATTAAGAATTGTGTAATCACAAATAATAGGAATCAACTATTATATACGTCAATTAACAATTGTAAAATAGAACTATATTTTTATTTTACTTCCTTCTTTACATTCTTTCTTCTCATGTGCTTATGTACGGCTTTGGTAGGCTTTAGTATTTTAGTCCAATCTGTGAATGAGCTTTCCGAAAAAATTCATAAACGAAAAACAGAAAGAAAAAAAAGAAGGTACCAACATTTCATTGTAGGAAAAGATGGAACAACTTTAACGTTAACTTGCACATGAAATGTTTTTCACTATTGTGTGCAAGAGGTTTTTTTTATATTTTTTTTATCGAAAGTGTGCAAGAGGTCCAAATATGATTCGAATTTCTGTTCACCAATTATTCTAGTGTATTGAACACGCAAGGAAAGAGGATGCAAAAATTGACCATCAAAATCGTTCTTGGCTTACCAATGACTTTTGCCCCCTTCTTCACGCTCTCTCTCGTTAATTCTTCTCATCAACTTTTTGCACGATTTTGCTTGTCTTTTCACTTTCTGTCTCTACCCTTCAGCATTTGGTAGGCCTTGCCTTTAGTCCAATCTCTGAATAAACTTTCAGAGAAAATTCATAAAGGAAAAAAGGAAAAGGAACCAACTTTTACTTCATGAAAGCATTGCATGCCGCTTTGTATTCGCAATTTGGATTCAAAATCAAAAAGGACTGCATCCTAAGAATGCCCATTGTATAAATTAGCTATTACATTTAAAATCAAAATATGCTTTCTCAGATAGTATTGTGCCAAAAAAAAAATATTTCTTTTAATTTTTTATTTATGAAAATACATTATGTGTTATAAAACTAAGGGTAATTTTCATTTCACTACATTGAAGTTTACCAAATTTCAGCCTTTGATACATCACATTTTTTGGTCGTCTCAGTCGCATAGATAACGTTTATTTTTATATCATTTTCATATTAGGTTTTGGGATTTCTACTTCTTGGATTGTGTAAACAAGCAGGTCATTGATGACCAAATAAAAGAATGAGTGTTTGCGTAAACAACATGTCAGTGAAAAGTATGTAATCCTTAATATGATAATTGTGTTCTAGAGATGTAGTAATTATTTAATCCCAAAGCCTCTCTGGGCTACAACCCACTGTAACCCATAGGGTAGTTATGCCTATGATTGTGCCTCGTAAGTGTTACGGCATGACTAAGGAAACAACAGAAGTCTAGCTGGTGTAACGATTGGGTGTCCCATTGTCACAATGTAGGTCCCAATGTTAGCTAGCTTCTACACCAATTTGAAGTGCTGATAATTGACAATGAGGGTGAAGGCCTGCTACACCAATGTTAGCTCGCTTTTTTTTTCTTTTTTTTTTGTAATACGTTCATGTAATTGGAAAAAATTTGCACCAAGTCTTTGATTTGTGGCCGTCTTTGGTGTTGGTAAATAGGCATTTCTGCATCTTAAAATGGGCACCTTAATTTTCATAGGTTAATCTAGGTTCTACTTGTTACCCGCAACATGTACTAATCAAGTGGTCCAAATATGATTCGAATTTGCATATTGAAGAAGCCGGGAACAAGTATTCATAAATTGACCATCAAAATTGTTCTTGACTAGTAGTCACCAATGACTTTTACCCCCTTCTTCATTCTCTCATTAATTCTTCTCATCTGCTTCTCCACGGTTTTGCTTGTCTTTTCACAAAGAAGCCGAAAGGTATAGTTGTTTCTTTTCTACTCTTTTTTTGTAATTTGATCTGCATATTATAATTTGATAACTTTTGGAAGGTTCGAAAATTGCTACATTTTCCTAAGGTTTGATCTGCAGATTAATTAACCAGTATCTTGTGGATTTTAACAGGTGTGAAATCTCTAGTTGTTTGCACTCAGGTAAATTTGGTGTCGAAGCCACTTTTGAATGTGTCTTTGTGATTCTGTCGAAGCCACCCTTGGCCTCTCCTTCTTTTCATTGTGAACTTGGACTAGGGCTCCATTTGACAGCGCACTCGCGCTAGCCCAAATTTCTTTATAATTAGGGAGTCTTTGAATCATATTGCATTTCACGGTATGAACTTTGCCCTCATCTACATTGCACTAACCTTCAATTGTCATCATAAATTTGCTACATTTTCCTAATGCTTGAATTCCTTGTTTTTTTTTTCTTTCTCATTTTGAAGCAAATTAAATAATTAATTAATTAGTTACCGCTTTCATTCAAATTAAGGCAGTTTTTGCAACAAATATTTTGGTACGAAGATACTTCTTTGAGCCTGAAAATGCAAATATGTTGACCAAAACCAATGAATAGGAGGGATTCTCATATTAGGCAGGAGTAAGAGTAGCAACACAGTAGTCATTTACTGTTAAAGCTAATTTTTGAGTTATTCCCTATTCTTTTACCCATTTATCTTGATCAATGATTATTAATGGTCATCTATCTCTATGGAAGGTATTAACTGCACCATTATGATTAAATGTCATCTTCTGCTTTCCTCAAATTTACTAAGTCACGACTATTAGATTTTCCTCATTTTTGGTACTTCCTTGAGCTTGTGGACGTATCTTTTAAAAATATCCATTACAATTGTGATACACATGGGTGTTGAGGTAATTCATAAATTTCATATAACAAGGGCACAGGTGCTCTACATGACAATCTTTTGTGATATTCCAAAATGTCTAAACTTTACAAACTTCAGCTACAAGCCATGTGTTTTAATCCAAACATCCTTCTATTAAATTTAGTTTCGTTTAGAAAACTGTAAAATTATAAACTCGAATTCTGTTGGTACCATTAGTTTTTAGGGTTAATTGGTGATTTACCCCCTTGAACTTGTACCTAGCTTTCGATTCACCCCCTATCCTTTTTAAAAAATAATAAAAAATTAAGGATATGAACTTTTTTTTTTTTGCCAATTTCCCCCCTACCATCTAAATCCTCAACATTTCATTCCATTTTCGATTAAATTATTTAAAAAAATTATTTTTTAAGAAAAAAATTGAAGAAAAATAATTAACCTAGAGCCAACCCCCCCTCCCCCCAACCTGAAGAACCCAATCCCCCTTCCCCTTCCGTCCCCTCCATCCTCTCCCCTTCCTTCCCCTCCTTCCCCGTCCATCTCCCCTACCCTCCCCCTCTGATCTATCTCCTCCTTCCCGTTCCGTCTCCTCCCTCCCCTCCCCTTCCTCCTCTTCCCCTTCCCCTCTTTCCCCTTCCATTTCCACCACCCTCAGATCTCTCTCTCTCTCTCTCTCTCTCTCCATGTGCTTTCTTCAATTGTCATCACATTGCATTTCAAGGTTTTTTTTTCTCACTTTTTGAAGCAGATTAATTAACGCATTCATTGAAATGAAGGATTGAGGGAGCAACAAATATTTTGGTACAAAGATGCACAAATAAAAACACTCTCTATCGAATGTTATTAGGGACTGATAATAGAAACAGTCTCTATAATATACTACTAGGGACAGATTAACAAATATTTTGGTACGAAGATGCTTCTTTGAGCCTGAAAATGTAAATATGTTGACCAAAACCAATAATTTAAATTTAATCACTGAAAACAACTTAAATTACCTAATTAGTGACCAACATATATGCAACGGTGGACTGACTTCTTTTCTATCACACATTAGTGACCAATTAACTTCTAAAAATAAAAAATAAATTTATTTGTTCAACTTTACTCAAAAAGGAGGCTAGTACTTTGGAACGATCGTCTTGAGCGAGCGAGCACCGATCGTCGTCTTCGGCGAGAGTGAGCGAACAAGCATCGACCGTCTTCTTCAATGAGAGCGAGCAGCGATCGTCTTCTTCATCGAGAGCAAGCAGCGATCGTCTTCTTCGTCGAGCGAGCGAGTGTCCTCTTTGTCTCTGTGGTTTTGATTTCTAGGTTTTATCCTAATTTCAGGTGAGCTTTCGATTTCTCTGTGGTTTCAATGTCAGCTTTCGATCTCTATCCCTCTACATGGTTTTCTATCTCCCTCAATCTCTCTCTGAAATCATCTAGGTTTCATCTGGAAGCTTCTCTGCTCTCAATTACCCAGGTGCGCTCTCTATTCTTGTGCTTGATTTCGATTTTTTAATTGTGGTTTCGATTGATTTTGATTTCAAGTTTGATTTCGATTTGAGTTAGATTTTGAGTTCGACGTTGAGTTTGATTATCTCCCAAAAATTTCGTGGCTTGATTTCCTAAATTCTCAGTTTCTCCTAACTGTCATTTGGTTTGTGTTGTGATTTTCATTATGAATAAGAATATGTTCTGTTTGATTATATTTACTTCAAGAGATTATGTGTTTCCGATGTGCAAGTTTGGTGAGCAAATAAGAATATGTTCTGTTACTCTTAAAAGAATATGTTTTGTTAATGATTTTTAAACTTGTTTTAGAGTGTTTTAGAATGAGAGAAATGGTATATCCCTCTCATACGGATCATCTACATACATATGTTGCATTGCATAGTAAAGAAGAAGCAGAGAATAACTATCTAAACTCGTTTTCATCTGGATACAAAGAAGAAGCACTGTAGCAGAGGCAGTCATGGACTAATACTCTGGTTCCACAAGCTGCCACTACGACAAAAAATGTTTTAAGTCTCAAGGTACATTAGACCAATTTACCAGGTTTGATTTCTATATTTTTTTTTTAAAGTTAAAATTTTTGTTTTGTTTATTCTCTTTTGCTTATTTTTCTACAGAGTTTTGGCTCCAAAGGCTTGGTTGTGTTCTCATCCATCTGGTAACCAATTGCAGACATTGTTATTCAAATTGTGTATTTATGTTTAGTGTTGGTTTAAAATTCAAATATCATCTACTTTTGTGATTTAAAACAAGGTTTGATGTTTGAGAACTTTCAGAAGATGCTCCAGATGATATAGAAGGGTTGGATGCTTCTGCAGCACATGTTGCCTCCTTGCCGCTTTTGTTATGCCATGGAAAATGTAATCATGATGACCTCTTATACACATATATTGTTAGTTTTATATGCCTTTTACATCCTTTGCTCTAGCATCTTCTTTTTCTGTAGGTTCTGCTGTGAAATTTACGCAGACTTTGAGTTCAACTGGCTATCAGAACATGGCATTCAAAGCCTACAATGGGTGTGTCATTTGGACATAATTAGTTATAGTTTTGCATATATATTATTAGTTTAAGGAAGTAAAACAATGTTTTATTTGGGTATGCAGGCTTGGTCATCCTGGATCAGTTATCCTCGACTTCATCATCAATGAGGTTGGCTTACAACTCTCATCTTACTACAATTGTTTTCTATGGTAATATAAACCCATCAGATTTAATTTGGCTAGCTTCATTTTTAAGTTTCTAGTATATCAGCAAAGTTTATCTTCAATATCATCTTACTACAATTGTTTTCTATGGTTCAAGTTTCCAGATTTTTTTTTGCTGACTTTATCTTCAATATTTTTTTTTTCCAGATTAGTTGCTCTCTCTCTCTCTCATGAATCTTTCTTTTAGTTTAATGGGTCTCTCTTATTGGTTTGTCTTGTTGATGTTTTGTTTTTTCCTTTTTGTTTCTCCTTGTTGCATGTTTAGCTGAAATATGTGTGTGGTAGACAATAGAGGGGTTTTTCGAGCAGTAGGTTCATTGTATTTTGCTGTGTTTGTAGGAATGGGCTCATAAGCATTACACAACAAAAGTATCAAGAGGGGCCATCTCAACAATGGAGAAACTTCTACTAATTCAGGATGCAAACTACAACTAATTCAGGATGCGGAATACATTTATCAATTTATTTTTAGATTTTGTTTTTGAGAGATACATGTCTTGTGAATTTGTTGGGGGAATGTTGATACATATATAGTTTTTTTTAAATGATATATGATGCCCATTTTGTTATTTTATACTTTTTTAAGGTATCAAAATTTTATCTTTAGTAGACTCTATGAAAAGAAATTAGATGTGATTTTACAGTTTTAATAAAGAACTGAGTAAATGAATCTAATTAGTCAGCAATTGTTCTATAGACATTTAGTGACTAACCAGTTTGGTCAGCAATATGGGCACGTGACCTTGTTTTAGTGACCAAAATGCATGTTTTGGTGACCAAATTGTAGCCCTTTAGTGACCAAAGTTGTGGTCACTGATAGCGATTTTATTAGTGACCACACATGTGAAGTCACTATTTCTTTGGGTTGTAGTGACCAATAATTGAATATGGCCACTAAATAGAATTTGTGACGAGCTTCTAGTGACCACACAGTGACCACCAATATTTGGACACTAATTGTGTTCAGTGACCAAAATTGGTACTTTTTGTGTCCAACTTGCTGGCCACTAATAAACATTTTTCTTTTAGTGGTTATTAGGGACTGATAATAGAAACAGTCTCTATAATATACTACTAGGGACAGATTAACAAATATTTTGGTACGAAGATGCTTCTTTGAGCCTGAAAATGTAAATATGTTGACCAAAACCAATGAATAGGAGGGATTCTCATATTAGGCAGGAGTAAGAGTAGCAACACAGTGGTAAGACGACTGCATAATCAAGCAAGTTGGAAAACTCACTTCCAAATCTTGAGAGAACCACTCAAATGCATGATAATATGCAAGGTAGTTTGGTTTCCAATTTATAACCATGCTGTTTGTATTTCATTTATATTGATATATACCTTAGCATATAGAGAGTACCTTACAATTACCTCCCTTGGGATACAAGCCTATCCAATATTCTCTTACCTGGTTGAGTCTAATGGGAAACTCTTATTGGCGCTTTATCATTGTGATCATGAATTACAAGCGTCTTGCATTGCAATTATATTTTTTATTACACATATGTCATCTCTTTGACCAAAAGCATATAAGGGAGAACTAATGCTTAAGAGTTGCATGTCACTAGGATGCATTTTATTTCCGACAGTGATAGTGCCCTCGGAAAAAGTCTCAAAGTGTGTCGGAAATACACATATTTTTTTTTTGCGGGAAGCCTTGGCGCTTGTTGTATTACCGACAAAAGTCATTGTTGTTGGAAATGCCATGGTTATTTCTGAGGGGTTGATTATGCCCTCGGAAATAGTCAGTTATTTCCAATGGAAACTAGTTCTTCTCGGTAATAATCAACTAGTTTCGAGGGCATTTTGATATTGTCAGAATTGCTTGTATATTTCTGACGAGCTACTTTTAGTCGGAAGTAGTTGTTTATTTCAGACAAAAGGTCATTGTTGGAAATAGTTGTGTTTTTCTTTTCATATCATTAAAAACAAATATTTAAATATTATCTCCACAAATGAGTAATTGTCACATATATTACTTGTACCATAAATGTTTTGAATCATTAAACAAGTCGAAAACATTTTGTGTTGACATATTTAACTACTATAACATAACCATCAATTACTTAATAAACTCATCAATTACTTAGTTAAAATGATATAACTAAGTAATTGATGCCATGAAATTTTAAATTGTTATTTTCTTATCCAATAAAATCATCTTAGCTCATATTTCATTTATTTATTTGTTGATACAAGCAAATATTGGGGGAGGAGACTTAGAACTTTTGGTGCAAGAGTAAATGTCCTTAATCACTTGAGTTACAAGCGTCTTGCATTACAATTATATTTTTATTACACATATGTCATCTCTTTGACCAAAAGCATATAAGGGAGAACTAATGCTTAAGAGTTGCATGTCACTAGGATGCATTTTATTTCCGACAGTGATAGTGCCCTCGGAAAAAGTCTCAAAGTGTGTCGGAAATACACATATTTTTTTTTTGCGGGAAGCCTTGGCGCTTGTTGTATTACCGACAAAAGTCATTGTTGTTGGAAATGCCATGGTTATTTCTGAGGGGTTGATTATGCCCTCGGAAATAGTCAGTTATTTCCAATGGAAACTAGTTCTTCTCGGTAATAATCAACTAGTTTCGAGGGCATTTTGATATTGTCAGAATTGCTTGTATATTTCTGACGAGCTACTTTTAGTCGGAAGTAGTTGTTTATTTCAGACAAAAGGTCATTGTTGGAAATAGTTGTTTTTTTCTTTTCATATCATTAAAAACAAATATTTAAATATTATCTCCACAAATGAGTAATTGTCACATATATTAGTTGTACCATAAATGTTTTGAATCATTAAACAAGTCGAAAACATTTTGTGTTGACATATTTAACTACTATAACATAACCATCAATTACTTAATAAACTCATCAATTACTTAGTTAAAATGATATAACTAAGTAATTGATGCCATGAAATTTTAAATTGTTATTTTCTTATCCAATAAAATCATCTTAGCTCATATTTCATTTATTTATTTGTTGATACAAGCAAATATTGGGGGAGGAGACTTAGAACTTTTGGTGCAAGAGTAAATGTCCTTAATCACTTGAGTTACAAGCGTCTTGCATTACAATTATATTTTTATTACACATATGTCATCTCTTTGACCAAAAGCATATAAGGGAGAACTAATGCTTAAGAGTTGCATGTCACTAGGATGCATTTTATTTCCGACAGTGATAGTGCCCTCGGAAAAAGTCTCAAAGTGTGTCGGAAATACACATATAGTGGGAGAAGTGAGGGAAGGGTGAGGATGCACTTACAAATTTTTGGGTCTGGGTTTTGTTTTTCCCCTTTATTTTGTGTGACTTTTGTCGAAGTTAAGCCCACACTAATTTTTCTGTCATTGTTGTCTTGTGGATATTCTGATTTTGCAGACTATCCTTCACATATAAGAAGGCAGAAGTAAGGTGAAGATGTGGTGCATATCTTAAAGGTTTCTTTGGATGACTTGTATAATGGCAAACCAAAGAAATTCTCTCTCTCTCCGAATATTTTGTGTCTGAAATGCAAAGGGTATGCCTTTATTTGTCACTCTGTTTACTTGTATATAACTTTAGGCAGTGGATTACAGTGATGTGGTGCTCTTTACTGGTTTTTATTTTTTTGTTCAATCTAATTGCTACTCACAACAGCTACATTGTATTAGTATTAGTTCTGTATGGGAAATCAAGCAGAATATGAATATTCTCTGCACTTCTTTGTTTGGTCTAAGGTAAGAACATTTATCAATCAATGTGACATTTATGGATTCTTCAGATAGTCAATTAATATATATTTATATCCTCTTTTGTTTCTTCTATAATCTTATCTTTCTCCAATAAAGCTTCTCTATTTCTTATTCTCATCTATGTCAGTTTCAAGAACATTGTGAAAAATACCAGAAAGTTATTATTCACACAGAGCAATTGACAGGTTAAGGTTCATTCATCCAACTTCTCCATAATGTTAACTTCTAAATGCAAGCTGCTATAGAGTAATATGATTCATTTATTTACTTTTTGGAATAATTCTTAGTATTGTTAGAGCACAATCCAAAGATTTGTATTACTGTTGGAGTCATTACATAAATATTAATTGCAAGATTTGTATTGGGCTATGAGCTGTTTGTTTGGTGCTACTTGGTATTGAGAGTTATGTTAAATGACATAGAGCAATACTTGAGTGAAATGGTGAGAACAATAAAATAATCTCTATTGGTGATGATCGGTGTTCTATACCGGTACCTTAATTTCAAATTGCTTACTGTTTTCTTCTTCTTTGCTTAATTTCATTTTGTCTTTTATCGTATATTATGTGATGGTTTCTTATATGGTGTTACTAGCAATTTAATCATAATGAGTTTGAAGATGACTAAACAACCAAATTAGTTCTGTTTGTTTCTGCAGTGCCTATCCATCACCGTAATATGATGCAGCCAAATAACTGAGATATTGCGTGTAGGGCAGCCTTGTCTTTGTCACATATATGTATTGCACAATGAAATTTTATTTATTTATGAAGATATTTAGTGTTTTCAATTGTTTTGCTTTTATATAGCATTTAACAAGATTTTCACAATGAATTGACATTGTCATAAATACATTTGTTGGTTGAACTTGAATATAATGTTTCCGACAACATTTGTCTGTCCAAAAACATTGTCGGAAAAACAAATGTTAAAAACATTTGCGGCAAAATTAGCAAATCACAAATGCTAAAATGTCCTCATTTTGATTTTTTTTTTTCTAACAATATTTGCGACGACTATTACTTGTTGGAAATTCTATTTTTTGTGACGGCTCATTGGAAATAGACCTTTTCCAATTATCGTCATTTAAGAAACATTTCCGACGAACTTGAAATTATTTCTGACAATGTTGGAACATCTAAAATACTAAATAGTCCTCGTTTGCAAAATTAGTTTTCGACGACGTCACATTATTTACGACACACATTACCTGTCGGAAATACAATTTTTTCCAACGGCTTGTCGGAAATTCACCTTTTCCTATGATCTCTTTTCCAACGCCTTCCGACGGCCCGTTGCCCTAAAAAAAAAACGCTTTTTTGACTAAAATTGGTATTTCCGACGTCTTTCTGCCTTCACAAAAAATGTTTTTTTAAGAAAGAATTTACAGTAGTTATATAATTTAAGAGTGAAAATATACCTATGGCTCCAACAACAATTTGCCAAGTGATGGCAACCGCGGTTGGATCCGCTACAACCGGAACATGATGAATTGCTGCAACCCTCCAAGCTTTTGTGCTTGGTTTTTTCATAGCTAGCTCCTGGTTCTGGTTGCATGGTTTTTTGGTAAAGCTTGCATGCTTTGAGATGTTAAGGCTTCTTCCTAAGAGAGTGTTGTTGGAGGTGCTTGGAGTTGCCATTTGTGTGAAGGAAAAGACTGAGGCTTCCATATTTGGTCGTGTGAAGCGTTGAGGGAGTGAAGGTATCGGCTGAATTGAAAGTCACCACCGCTTCATATTGGGCCACGTTGCATCTACGCACTCACCCACTTATTAGGCAATGTGGATCACACATATATATTTGCGAATGCTTGTGCCTTTTCCCCTCATTTTTGCCCAAATAAAAAATTCTCTCAAAGTCATTTCAATTTTGATAATTATACTCTTATAGTTCTATAATTTTAGCAATTAATTCCCAATTAAGGGTAAGTATTCGTTTTTCTCCGTAACATGTTACACGGATTTATTATCGAGACTTGTTTTGAGTAAATTAAAGACTTCAATTAACACTACCTTCCAATCAAATCCATTCTCGTGCTCCAAATCACCATCTTGTTGGAATGATGGTGGCAGTGATTGATGCGGACCACATGTTTTTGCAAGTGGAATTCCACACAATCCTACATTTCCCATGTATGAATCATTTTCAAATGTATTAAATTGTTTGCCATGAGGTATGGGCCCCACAAGTCGATTTTCTGAAATGTTGAACTTTTCAAGTGATGTCAAATTTGCCAATTGCTCCGGAATATCACCTACAAGTTTGTTTGAAGAGAGATCTAACCATTCAAGATTGCTCATATCGCCAAATGATGGTGGAATTGTACTTGTAAAGCTCATTATGAGAAACGTTAAGCCCCTTCAATGATTTAAGCTTACCGATTACGTTTGAAATCTCTCCTCAGAAACTATTATTTGAGAAATCAATAGTTCTGAAAAAAGTTTGAATCTTCACCATTTCAATTTCGAAGCCTTTAATTGTCACTGCCATAGTATCCTCATAGTAGCCCTCTCCCATATATTTCAATTCATGTTCTTGTGAGTTTATCATGGCTGTCAAATGTTCAAAATATTTTATTAGCAAGAGACCGCTAAACTGATTGTAAGATAGATCCATGATACGCAATTTTTGGAATGGAAACTTAATTTTTGGAATGCCTATTTCACCATATATAGAATTTGTTAGACGTCAAGATGAGAACCTGCAACTTCGAAAGAGATTCTAGCCAATTTGGGAATTTATCTTGAATTTTGTTGTTTCCAAGGTGTTGGCACCAAAACTGAACATATAGAGATGAGTGCAACTTACAAGTGATATGGACGATCGAGAGATCGATTGAGTGTTGGATACAGACTCTTCCTGTCCTCAGATGCTGATCCTGAATAGAAGGAAGAAGATTCGTGAGGTCTATGGAACCGGTGTGGAACCAGCCTAAGACCCTCCGATGCTAAAGTAAGTTTGTTTTCTAAGAGCTTTCGTTGTTGACAATATATTAGTATAAAAGTCAAGCTGAAAAGTCTTACCCCTGTATTGTAGTCAAGGGGCCTATTTATAGAGGGCATTTTGTATGCTCTTAGTACTTAATTTCGATGTGGGACTCGTGGGAGGGCCCTATGAGGTTGACACGAGTTCTCTAGATATTTCGGGCGGGTGCTTCGAGGTTGATTCTGCAGAATCAGTAGGGCGTACCGATTGTAGACTGCTGGGCCTGTAGCGACCTTTTGCTGCTTTGAGACAATACCATCGGTAGCTGATGTTGATTGTTCGGAGCCTTGGGCACTTGGGAGTTTAAGTGATCCACGTGTCAATGGATGAGTGGAGGATCAGGTATGGTACAAACACAAGGTCTAGAACTTCCAACTCTCTACATGTGAGCAAAGATGGCGGCAACAACCCTTCCAAGTGATTTCCATTAAGATCAAGATTTCTCAAAATGTTTCCCTTAGAAAATGTCCCAGGAATCACGCCATGAAATTTATTATTCTATAGATCCAAAACAGAGAGGATCTGACTGAAGTTCCCTATGCATTGATGAATTTTACCACTCAATTTATTATTGGACAAATCAAGGATTTGAAGGATACTCAAGCTACAAATGGCTGGAGGCATCTCTCCAGTGAATTGATTGTTTGATATGGAAAAGAAAAATGTGGAAGGTGATGGAATTGGAAGCTCTCCTTGGAGAGAATTGTTGCAAAGGTCAAGATACTTGAGTTTTTTCCACCGAAGTTGTCCTGCAGTGCCAGTCAAAGAGTTGTGAGAAAGATCCAAAGACCATTTGTGCCAGTCATATATATATATATATCTCTCTCTCCCCGCGACCCAAGACCCATTTGTGCCTCCCCCCGCCATATCCACCCTCGCTAGCTCTTTGTACCCACCAACCTTGCAACCCATTGGTGCAACTTTCACGGGTCTGTGCGAGAGAGAGGGGTTTGGGGAAGGGGCTTTAGGTTTCAAACAACCCAGATTTTAAGTGGGGAGTGGAGGTTGGTCGGAGATCGAGAGAGAGGGTGGCGATGGTCGAGATAGGGGTTGCGATGCTGGTAGGGTTCGGATCTAGCGGAGAATGGGGTTGTCACTGGCTGCTGGGATTTCAATCGAGGATTTGGGTGATGCTTTGTTTTATTAGCTGTTGTTAAAGCAGTAGAGGATTTGGGTAGAGATAAAAGGTCCAACAAAAAAAATTGAACATGTTTGCAAAGAGAGAGAGAGAGAGCATTGGAATGGTTGAGCTGGGGATGGGGAGTTATTGTTCTAGGTTGGTGAGATGAGGGATTGGCTATGGTGATTGGGTGTGTAGAGTAAATTTTTTTAGGGAGAAGATAGAGAGAGGGTGGGCTGGTGAGAGGGGAGGCGGCGGTTGGGAATAGGGATGGCAGAAATCCCCGTCGGGTCGGGTCCCCGGCCCTAACGGGGGGAAATTTTCGGGGCAAAAGCGGGTGCGGGTACGGGGGAGACCCGAAAAAAAAAGGTATGGTAAGTGTGTCCCCGTCCCCGAACCTGGCCCGAAATATATATTTATAATTTTAATTAATAAATATGCCAGTATATTTTTATATTTATGTATAAGTCTAACCCTAAGTAAGTTAACCTCTCATATTTTTCCTAATCCTCTCTAACCTCCATCCAACAGCCGCCGCACCTATTTCTTTCTCTCTCTCTCTCTTTCTCTGTCTTTTTCTCCTGCTTCAGTCGCAGAGCAGAATCCATCTCTCTTTCTCTCTTAACAAACATTATAGTCATTCTTGTCTTTGTTGCTTGGAAAGCTCACAGGTATTCTTTTTCTACATTCTAATTTGGTAGAAAGATTACTTGGCTTTTTGTTTGTGGTTATGATTACTTTTGGTGGAATGAGTTTTCTTTGTGTGGTTATGATTACTTGGGTTTATGTGGGTCTACGACAGATGTGCTATGAGGGAAAGTTTTTGGATTATATGGGTGGAAAGAAACAAGAGAGCATTCGTTGAATTTTTTTTGGGTTTAGTCAGAGAGCTGTCATTTTCTGTTAGTTTTTTTGTATAATTTTCCTAAAAGTTTTTCACTACTCTTGTAATTTTGATGAATGAAAATGGTTGCTTTGCTGGCAGTTGTCTTTGTTGCTTGGAAAGCTCACAGGTATTCTTTTTCTACATTCTAATTTGGTAGAAAGATTACTTGGCTTTTTGTTTGTGGTTATGATTACTTTTGGTGGAATGAGTTTTCTTTGTGTGGTTATGATTACTTGGGCTTATGTGGGTCTACGACAGATGTGCTATGAGGGAAAGTTTTTGGATTATATGGGTGGAAAGAAACAAGAGAGCATTCGTTGAATTTTTTTTGGGTTTAGTCAGAGAGCTGTCATTTTCTGTTAGTTTTTTTGTATAATTTTCCTAAAAGTTTTTCACTACTCTTGTAATTTTGATGAATGAAAATGGTTGCTTTGCTGGCAGATTGAAAAAGCAGTGGCAAGTTCTTACATATGGAGGTTCAAAGTGAGAGAGCTGAGGTTAGTGAACATTCATTTTGTAATGTTTTTTTTTTCTTTTTAGAAATTCAGATTTATTTTAGTGGCTGACAACTAACTTGTTTTTTTTCCTATATCAGACACAAGATGAAGAGAATGAAACTCCGAAAACCCAAAATGAGGATAAAAGCAGCCCTGCACCAATGGAAAATGATATCAACACGGCAGAATCAGGTGTCCCTCAACTTGATGGGAATAAAGTAAGAAAAGCTAGATCGCCTGCTTGGGAACATTTTGAAAAAATAGAAATTGGTGGTCAATTGAGAGCTGTATGTATTCATTGTAAAAAGAGTTTAGGAGCAAATAGCAAGAATGGGACTAGACATTTACTTGATCATATGAAGACTTGTGTTTATAAAAGACAAAGAACCATGAATCAGTTCATGTTGAATCCTACAAAGTCAAGTGATGGGTCAGTTAAGCTTGATACTTATAATTTTAACCATGAACATGCTAGGAAAGCACTTGCAAATATGATTATTCTTCATGAGTATCCATTATCCTTGGTTGATCATATTGGATTCAAGATATATTCCAATACTTTGCAACCATTGTTTAAAGTGTGTTCTCGAAACACAGTCAAGAAAGATATATTTAAGATTTTTGAAATTGAAAGAGAGAGAACAATGAAGTTGTTGGACACGAATAAAAGTAAAATTGCAATTACAACCGATATGTGGACATCGAATAATCAAAAGAGGGGATTCATGACCGTCACATCACATTTCATTGATGATGCATGGAAATTACAAAGTCGTTTGATAAGGTAAATTTATTATATTGTTTTTATTTGAATTGTTAGTATTTTTTTTAAATAATTAGATTGTGACTTCGTTGATTTTTTATAATTGTAGGTTTATATATGTACCATGTCCACATACTGCGGAAGTACTTGCGGATGCTCTAATGGAATGCATGTATGATTGGAATCTTGACAGTAAGTTGTCTACCTTAACTGTAGATAATTGTTCTACGAATGATTCTATGATTGCGATAATTTTAGATAAGCTTTCCTATAGTTCACTTATGTTGGATGGACGTTTATTCCACATGCGCTGTTGTGCACATATTTTGAATTTGGTGGTGAGAGATGGCTTAGAGGTGATTAAAAATAGTATTGAGAAAATAAGGTATAGTGTTGCATTTTGGCTTGGAACTCAAAAAAGAGAGGAGAAATTTATTGAAACAGCCAAACAATTGAGAGTTCCAACATCTAAAATGTTGGAACTTGATTGCAAAACTAGATGGAACTCTACATATTCCATGCTTAAGAATCTGAGTTGGATCATTATTTGGATGAGTCTCTTTTACCTAGGAATGATGATGATGATTTTGATATATTATGTTGGTGGAAATCAAATGGGATCAAATACCCTACATTGCATGATATTGCTAGAGATATTTTGGCCTTTCCTGTATCTACAGTTGCTTCAGAGTCTTGCTTTAGTACTAGTGGAAGGATTATAAGTCCTCATCGTAGCCGACTTCATTCAAAAACAGTGGAGGCATTGATGTGTGCTCGTGATTGGTTATGGAGTAAGATATATTCAAATATTTTTATGGTTTATTTGTTCAGATTAAGTAAAGTATTTTTATCATTGTGTGATGATTATTTTTTATTATACCATTAGGTTCATATGCCAATGATAATGATGGTGCTGAAAAAGTTAGCATTGAAGATGAAGAGGTTGATACTAATGAAGCGGTAACATTCTCATTATACAATGATTTATTTTGTTTACTGGTTTTTCATCATATATAATTTATTCTCCTTGAAGTCATTGTAATGCATTTATCATGTTTGTTATGCAGGAATCTACCATTGAAACAGAGAATGTATCTTTGTTTTTTGACTAAGTTGTGACTTAGATTTATTTGTGCTTATTTTGATTAAGCTGTGTACTTATTTGTTTTTGTGAGATTGGTATGAACATAAACTTTGTAAGATGATGAAGCTTTCAATTTCATCTTTTTTATAATTATATTATTTGTTGTTTATTGGGTTTTTTAAAATGAATTGAGGCGATTTTGAGTATTTGAGTTTAATTTTATATTTATATTAAATGTGTTTAATGATAAATTAATGTGAGAATAAATATTTTTAAGAAGAAAATTCGGGGATTCGGGGCGGGTATGGGGGATGGTCCCCCAACGGGTATGGGACGGGGATTCCCCGAACCGTATTAAAAGGGGATGGGGGCGGGGACGGGGGAGGGTTTGGGATTCGGGGGCGGGGA